ATCCCAGAGCTGCAGGCCCCACTCCCCAGGCTCCTACCCCCAGCTGCCATGACAACCTCAAGACCACCTCAAAACCAGCCATGTGGGCATGAGCCCCTGTGGAGGGGCACAGACTGCCAGCCTGCAGGTTCTCCAGGCCAGGAGCCAACGGGGCATCAAAAGCCTCCAGATTTGGGCATGGATCAGCCTTTCCGACTGAAGAATACTTCAGCAAGAATTCATGGCCTGACAAGAAAGCCAGACATACGGTCATTCCCATCAGGTCTTGGACATTCCTGGGCCCTCTTTGGGAGCTCTGGGGGCTCTGCCGCTGCAGGCACCAGTGAAGGGTGTCACAGGACAGAGAGACACTCCTACCAACCCAGATGTGTGTCCACAGGCACTGACATGCCTGAGCAACCCCTCCCCCAGAGACTCAAAGGTGCCTGCACCTGCCTGCCCACCCTGCCCACGATCTCCAGGAGGCCGCAGCTGCTCCCAGCCCTAAGGACAGGACGAGACCCCCTCCAGCCCTCTCCTACATCTCCAGCTACATTGAGATCACCCAGGAACATGCCCCCGAGGACAGGCACAGTGACACCTCCTCAGTGAAGCCCTCTGGGATTGAGCTTTGAGAAAGCACCTGGAGGCTCCTGAGCACAGGGCAAGGCCCTTTCCAGGCCTATTCCTGGTTATTGGGGTCTTGGACTGGCCAGAGCAAGGAGAGCAAGGAGCAGTCCCCACTGGGGAACACTGTCCTGGGGGCCGCCCTCCTGTGCTTGGATTGGGGCCTTTGTGGGTGAGCAGGAGGCTGCAAGCGCTTTGGTAATTGATTTAAACAACCCTCCCAGCCCCAAGAGGAGACAGGCCTGGGCCCTAGGGAGCAGTCGCCCTCCTTCCTGTCTGCGTGTTTCAGTCACGACGGGAGCTTTGTACCAGCCTCCTTGAGCCTGCTGCCTACATGTGCCTGGGGCGGCAGGAGGCTGTGGGGAGGGCAGGCACAGCTTCAGCAGATGAGGCTCAGAGAGGAGAGGGAGCCCTGCAAGCCCCTGCTGCCAAAGGCCGTGGTCAGGGCAGGGCTGCCATGGGCAGCCAGACCCACACGCCATCCTGACCTCCGGCTTCCTGGCTCCCACAGGCCCCTAGGGCAGGACCCCTGCAATGGCGTCTTCCCAGCCTGCTCAGGCCTCTGCTCCCCCAGCTGTCACCTCCAGAACCTCTGGTCTTAGGACCTGGCCCCATTTCATCCACCGCCTGCCTCCCCCACCAGAGGGCCAGCCCCGTGAGAGCAGGAATTGTTCCCTTTGCTCACTGCAGTCCTCCCACACAAGTATCTGTGCCACCCACAAACGACTCGGGGCCTCAGGGTCGGGTATTTGGGAGGCGGCTGAGAAGGACCCAGTCTGCTGCCCTCAGCTAAGGTGCCCATGTCTGTGGCCCTGTCTGCACAGAGGGGTAAGGGACTAACTAGGACCCCAAGCCATGACCTCCCCTAGGGACAGTTCAGTGCTGACTGGAGGGGAAGAGAGGCGGCAGGTGCCCATGGCAGAAAACCCTGAATCTAAACAAGAGATGGTCCCCTCCCAGTTTTACAAATAAAGTGCGTTTTCTCTCGGCTTCCTTGGAGAATTCACCTCCCACTCTGAGGGAAACTGGCCCTGAGCTGCTTGTCTCTCTGGAGAGAGCTAAGCTGCCCAACTCCCTACTTAGAGGAAGCCAGGCCTGAGCCTCTCACTGTTTTTTTGGGTTTTTTTCTTGCAACAGGGTCCCACTCTGTCACCCAGGCTGGGTGCAATGACTGCAGCCTGGACCTCCTGGGCTCAAGCAGTTATCCCACCTCAGCCTCCCACGTAGCTGGGACTACAGGCATGTGCCACCATACCCAGCCAATCTTTGGTTTTTTGTGGGTTTGGGGGGTTTTTTTTTAGACAGTCTTGCTCTGTCACCCAGGCTGGAGTGCAGTGGCGTGACCTTGGCTCACCGCAACCTCGGCCTCAGCCTCCTGAGTAGCTGGGATTACAGGCGCCCACCACCATGCCCAGCTAATTTTTGTATTTTTAGTAGAGACGGGATTTCGCCATGTTGGCCAGGCTGGTCTTGAACTCCTGACCTCAGGTGCTCCGCCCACCTCAGCTTCCCAAAGTGCTGTGATTACAGGCGTGAGTCAGCGCACCCGGCCTTTTGTATTTTTTTGTAGAGATGCAGTTTCACCATGTTGCCTAGACTGGTCTCAAACTCCTGGGCTCAAGCAATCTGCCTACCTTGGTCTCCCAAAGTGCTGGGACTACAAGTGTGAGCCACCGCGCCCAGCCCTCTCGCTGGTCTTGATGGCATAGGCCTCTTGGGAGCACTTACCCTGCAGGGGCACAGCCACTGCTGAGGTTCATCTTGGAGAGCTGATGGGGGAGAGGGAGCAGGACGAGTCCACCACTCCAGGGCCTGCCTGGCCGGAGATGAGACAGCCAACATGCATGCTTGTGAGTCTGTGTGACTCCACCTGCTACATGTCTGCATGCGTGTGTGGAGACCGAGTCACAGCGCGCAGGGAGGGGCAGGCAGAGGGCATGAAGCGGCAGCAACAGTGAAGCCGGCACAGCTCTGCCTGGATGCCGCGTGGGCTGTCTCAGGGTCCTGGCTCTTCTCCCTGGCCCCCGCCCTGGGGTGCAATGTCTTTGGGCTCAGCCACGCATAAATGTAGGGCTGCTTCTCCTCTGGGTCCCTGCAAGACACCCACACACAGGCCCACAAAATGCTCAGATGCACACAGAGTGGCCCCATCCCCCCTCACCCCAGCACCCCAGACAGAGGATGTGCTCTGTCCACAGCCTTGCTGCCAGGCCCCCGGCGCCGTTCCACCCGACAGAGCTGAGCATGGCTCTCTCCCTCCCTGGCCTCTCCTCTCTACACCCAAAGGGCCTCACTGGTTCATTTGAAAAGGCCAGTTTATTTCTGAAAATAGAAATTATTTCCACAGAAGGATGCTCTCACAAGCTCACAGTTGGCTGGAACAATGCCAGCCCACGGAGAGAGCAAAGGGCCTTTCTGAGCCCTGAGGGCTGGGGGTACAGACCGGGGAGCACCCCTGGCTCAGGCCCTGGTGTTGCAGTGGATGTAGGTGAGGTGGGTCTGGGAGGAAGGAAAGGCACCTGGGGATGCTGCTTTTGTGGCCAGGAGGGCCCGACACCTCCACTAGCACCGCGGGTCCTGAGCTCAGCACCCGCCGCCTCCCCCATCCCACTGCCCTCAGTGTCCCTATCCTTCCCATCATCCCACCCCACCTCCAATGAGACCAGCTGGCTGTGGTGCCAGCCCAGCCCTCAGGACAGGCTCAGGAGAGCAGAGGTAGAGTCTGGAAGGGGCTCAGAGTCCCAGAGCCACGCTAGTGCCACTGCACCCCAGGCTGGGTGACAGAGCAAGACCCTGTCTAAAAAAAAAAAAAAAAAGAAAGAAAACACAGAGATCCTCTGACCCAGCACGTCCCTGCTGAGGAGCAGCCCTGAGACAGGCTGGCTGCCCACATCAGCTGTGGCGTGGCCTGCAAAGCACGTCCAGGAGCTGCCCAGCTGCACACACACGGGTGGAATGCGCCAGGGTGTGTCCAGCAAGGAAGAAAAGCAGGGAGATGGGAAGGACGAGGAGACTAGCCCAGGGCAGAGCTCAACGCTCCCCGCCTTGCAGGACGGCGTGAGAGTGGCGCCTCAGGGTGCCAACGTCTTCTCTGCAGCTTTTCACAGCTTACCGAGTCTTGAGTTCCTCATTTTAGAAGAAGACAGAAAAAGAAGTTGGGTTGCCTATGGCCAAAAAGTGGTGCTTCCACATGAGACCCCCCCACGCTCAGCCCACTCAGATGCAATGCAGAGAAACCCCGTACAGGCAGACACAGGCCCGCACACATGAACGTGTCCTCACTGGCACACATGCAGGTACACGCCATGTACACTCACTACACAGGGTGGGCCACAAGACCCACCGAGACCCCCATGTACACAGATAAGGGTGCCTAGGGCCACAGTGACGCCCAGACGAGGCACAGATGCCCTCAGTACCCTCTGCCCAAAGACCTGGGCACACCCAGAGGCCCCTGCATGGAGTGCCTTCCTGACGCACAGGCGCACACATCCACAGGCAGACACGTGCCTCAGCCGCCCACTGAGTTCTCCTGGGTAAGTGAGTGCTGAGGAGACCTGGGACAGCCGACTGCAGGCGCCACTGCAGCTCAGGGGAAGGGGGGGCCCGCCTTCCGGGCTCCACGTCAGCGTGGGGGATCCGCCTCCCTCCCTCACCAGCATCAGCGCTGCCACCAGGCTGGGAACCTTGCCTCCAGGGCCGAGGCAGCCAGCAGGGCAGGTCCTGAAACTCCTGAAATCTCAGGTGGGGTCTGCTGGTGAGGAGCACACCTCCCCCCCATCCCTGCAACTGCCTGTACTGGCCACCACCAGGAACACACCAAGGCTACCAACTCTGGGCTCGAAGCCCTGGCCAGGTCAGTAAAGAGAAGAGCAGGTGGGCCAGCGGGGTCTGCAGCACCTCTAGGAGGTTGGGAGGGAGGGTGCCGACTCCAAGACCCCTGGAGGGAGGAGCTTCAGATTCAAGGGGACCAGAGATGAGCTGGGAGGTGTTTTTGAAGGGATCACTTGGTTCTACCTAGACTGTGTGTGTGCAGGCTGCTGGGGCACGGGCAGAGCCACATCTCCTCTTCCCAGGAGGGTGGCCAGCAGCCCCTCTCTGTGGGAGGAGGGAACTGACCTGCTGAGGCATCACCAGGAGGAGGCTGGGGGAGGCCCTGACACACTCCACCTGGCTCCGGCTCCCTCTGGCCCCAGGCACTTGACCTGGCAAAGTGGCCCACAGTCTCAGCCAGAGAACTTGGAGCGGCTGTGCTCTAACAGACGGCCAGATCTCAAAATTTCTGGTTGATTTTCTTTCCTAGAATCCAGCCCAAGGAGGCCTCTTACCAGACACCCAACTCCAAGGAACCCCCCACCTGCCCGGGGCACAAACTGTCAACAGTCCTACCTACAATGCAGGCCGCTGGGTATCTGGAGCCCCTTCGCATCAGGGGTGCCTCCTCCCTCACCCCACTGGGTGCCAACGTCTCTCAGGACAATGGCACTGGCCACAATGCCACCTTCTCCGAGCCGCTACCGATCCTCTATGTGCTCCTGCCTGCTGTGTACTCCGGGATCTGCGCCGTGGGGCTGACCGGCAACACGGCCGTCATCCTTGTCATCCTGAGGGCGCCCAAGATGAAGACGGTGACCAACATGTTCATCTTGAATCTGGCCATTGCTGACGGGCTCTTCACACTTGTGCTGCCCGTCAATATTGCAGAGCACCTGCTACAGCACTGGCCATTTGGGGAGCTTCTCTGCAAGCTGACGCTGGCCGTCGACCACTACAACATCTTCTCCAGCATCTACTTCCTGGCCGTGATGAGCGTGGACCGATACCTGGTGGTGCTGGCCACCGTGCGGTCCCGCCACATGCCCTGGCGCACCTACCGGGGGGCGAAGGTCATCAGCCTGTGTGTCTGGCTGGGCGTCACGGTCCTGGTTCTACCCTTCTTCTCTTTTGCTGGCGTCTACAGCAACGAGCTGCAGGTGCCAAGCTGTGGGCTGAGCTTCCCGCAGCCCGAGCAGGCCTGGTCCAAGGCCAGCCGCATCTACACGGTGGTCCTGGGCTTCGTGGTGCCTGTGTGCACCATCTGTGTGCTCTACACAGACCTGCTGCGCAGGCTGAGGGCCGTGCAGCTCTGCTCTGGCGCCAAGGCTCTAGGCAAGGCCAGGCGGAAGGTGACCATCCTCGTCCTGGTCGTGCTGACCGTGTGTCTCCTCTGCTGGACACCCTTCCACCTGGCCTCCATCGTGGCCCTGGCCACAGACCTGCCCCAGACCCCGCTGGTCATCAGCATGTCCTACGTCATCACCAGCCTCAGCTACGCCAACTCGTGCCTGAACCCCTTCCTCTATGCCTTTCTGGACGACAGCTTCCGCAAGAATTTCCGCACCATGTTCCGGTGCTGAGGGGCCTGAGCACCCATCATCACCCTCACCATCACCCACACCCTCACCCACCAGTTCAGGTGGCCTCTTCCAAGGGACGCTGTGCCTGTTTACATCCCCATGCTGTCTTCTCCACACAGCGAGACACGGACCCTCAAATGCTGGCCACCAAACCTCCAGAGACAGCCATGGACATATACCTCCCACGTCTGCTTCCTGGACAGCCCCTGGGTGGACAGCAGCAGGGATCCAGGTCAGAGCAGAGCAAGCATCCTTAGTCCAATTACCCACAAGGGACAGACAGATGGACAAGCCCTGGAAGGTTCTGGGGCTGGGGTTCCCTAATGACAGTGGTTGGAAGGGGAAGGAACCCAAACCATGATCTCGACCTGGGCCAGCACTGTGTGGCACAGTCAGGATCCCTTGGGCTCTTCCCAAGACAGGGTTGGGAGGTGGCACAGTGTGGGCACCTCAGGCAGCAGTGCTATGCTGCTGCAAAGGCCAGCGACACCTGCAGCAACTGAGACCACGAAATCCACTGTCACAGCCTGAAACCCAAGTGACGTTCCAGCAGTTGGCCATCCCCGCCACGCCCTCATGCCACGGCCTTGTGCTACTTTGTACCCCCCCAGGCCGTGGCCAATGGTCCTCTCATAGTTTGCTACAGGGTACAGGGCCCTTCTGCCAGGACCTCTGGGCCACCATGGCCTAGGGAGCATCTGTCACTTGGACAGGCTGGCACCTGGAACTCTTCCTCTCACGGTGTGGCTGGGGCTTGTACTCAGCCAGCAGGAGCTGCGTGCTGAAACTCTGGTGGGGGCGGGGTGCTGGTAATGAAGGGCAAGCAGCTCAGACACCACTGACTGTCGGGGGCAGTCCCAGAAGACAACCCAGGTGTGCCGTGGCCAGGTCCCCGTCCTTGGCCCATGGTTCTCAGCTGGTTCCATGCCTGGCATTCCAGCCTGGCAGCCAGGTGTGAGCGCCCTGGGTTGGTTTCAGTCCTCCTGACCCAGAACTCTGAGCAGTCTGTCCAGTGGGCACACAGGACCCCTCATTTACCACCCCGCAAGGTGTCCCAGGGTGTATGCCCACCTCCGCCCACCCACCAAGTACCCCAGCTTTCCAGGCCACGACGGCCCTGCCTGTCAAGCTCAAGGCTGCCTCAGTGCCCCTCCTCAGAGCGAGTCGGCCAAACATGCCAGGGCCAGCTCCATCCAGTCACCTTCCCTGATGACACTGTATTAGCTATCTGCTGCTGTGTAACAAATTTCTCCAAAATCTAGGAGCTTAAAACAACTATTTCACAGCTTCAGTGGTTCAAGAATTAAAGTGGCATTTTGGGTGGTTCTGGCTCAGGGTCTCTCATCAGGTTGCAGTCAGGACATTGGCGGAGGCCCTGGCATCTGAATATTGGACAGGTGCTGGGATATCTCCTGAGAAGTCTCCCTCCCCCGCCCGCCTGGCAGGAGGCCTCTGTTCCTCACTACATGGATGCTTCAGGAGTGTCAGGGGCTGTCTGCGGTCCCTTCGTTCTGTGCATTGGAAGCAAGTCACATGTCCACCCTGCACTCAGGGGCTGTGGACAGTTCATTCTTCTTTTGCCTCATTTTTTTTTTAATTGAGAAGGGGTCTCACTTTGTCACCCAGGCTGGAGTGCGGTCACAGCTCACTGCAGCTTCGACTTCCCGAGCTCAAGCTATCCTCCCACATCAGCCTCGGGAGCAGCTGCGACCACACGTGTGCGTCACCACGCCTGGTAATTTCTTTTCTTTTTTTTTTTTTTTTTGAGACGGAGTTTCACTCATGTTACC